GTTGTAGTCCCTACCAGCTGTTTTTGTAGGCATTAAACTGCCAGAATTTTAAAAGACGACATCTCTGTTTGCATTGAACTTTCAGCTTCGTAACTTTGCAGATATTGTTTATGCTCAAACAGCAACATTACACACTAACTAACGTTAAAAAAGTGAAATCGCAATCAACCACCCCTTTAAGAGTACTGACCAATAAAAGCATGTTTATCATCCTCCGCCCCCAGTCTGTAGCAGCGTGGGAAGAATGTATCGGGATCTGCTGCATCAAACCACTGCAGATTTCTCAAACTCATACACAAACCAACCTGAAAAAGACATAGTTACGAAATGAGAGGTAATGAGTACGTTTTAATATACTGTAGAAGAATTTTAGCTTCAATGGCTTTGTTTGTCGAAATTTGTGATGAACCTTGGTGGTGAAAGATCCCGCCTTTGCGTAATGATTGGTCATCTGGTCTTTACGTAAAGACCGACAGTCGACTGAATCCCTCCTTGTTGTCCAGTAGAAATATGCCGTCTCATTGCGAACCAACCGTGACTAGGGATTTAAAATAAGAATCAGAGACTGTCCACTGTTGACAAATCGCATTAAAAAACCCAGCTGCTATGGCAACTATCTGAAATGGAATTCCACAGTTTCTAAACGTACCATTAGGTCATACAGATCATCTGCCTCATCGTCCCTCTCTCCCTCCTCTCCTAAGTCTGCATAAAGAAGCAGAGAAGGTGGTGAGACAGTAGTCAAGGGACAGAAAACGTGATCTATGTCACTGGCATCTGTTTGTTGGAATGAGTGGTGTCAGGTTAGCTACTCAAACTATCATAGTGAGCTTTAGATTACAGTGGGTCATTAACTAAACAGTTACACAGGATGCTGTGAAGCATAGCATTTACAGTATACTTCACACACACACACACACACACACGTTTACAATATTGTTTAAAAATTTGGGGTTGGTAAGAATTTTTTAATGTTTTGGAAAGAAGTCTCTTGCTCATCAAGGCTGCATTTATTTTATTAAAAATACAGTAAAAACTGCAATATTTTGAAGTATTATTTAAATGAACTGTTTTCTATTTTAATATATTTTAAGTTGTAATTTATTCCTGTGATGATAAGGCTTAATTTTCAGCAGCCATTACTACTACTCCTCAGTGTCTTATGCTCCTTCTAAAATCATTCTAATATGCTAATTTGGTGCTTAAGAAACATTTTGTCTTATTATTGCCAGTTAAAAACAGTTGTGCTGCTTTAAAATGTTTGTCAAAACCTTCATTCTTTGATGAATAGAAAGTTCAAACAAACACATTTATTTGAAATATATATATATTGTAACATTTTAAATGTCTGTCAATTGTGATCAATTTAATGTGTCCTTGATAAATAAAAGTAGTAACTTTTTTTAATCTAATTGCAGAGATACCATACCCATCTGTTGTTTTATTATAATTACTTTCAGGGGGTAGAAACCTAAATGTCTAAATACCTTGGGGAAGTCGTGGCCTAATGGTTAGAGAGTCGGACTTGTAACCCAAAGGTTGCGGGTTTGAGTCTCGTACCGGCAGGGATTGTAGGTGGGGGGAGTGAATGTACAGCGCTCTCTTCCACCTTCAATACCACGACACTGGTCACTAATTCTGAGTATGGGTCACCATACTTGGCCACATGTCACTTCACTTGCTGGTTGGCAAAAGGGTGCTAGACAAAGTTGAATATAGCTATTTTTATTTTTTTTTTTACATTTTAAAACATCCCCTGACATGCCCAACAGAATGTTGTGACAGTAACTAACTTCTGGGTACAATTTTGTCCCCTGTGTATAGCTAACGTGCACACACAGAAACCGACCAGCCTTATCAAGTGTCTATGCAGAGTGATGGAACGGGTCTAATCTTAGTTCTCTCAGATACTCTCACCATCATCATCACTGCTGCCACCCTCATCTGTGGCTTCTGTTTCAAGATCATGTCGACGAGGCCGTGGGACAGAGAGCTGTGGTAGCCGCCGCTCCACCCATCCTCTTGCACGTAGGCCTGCACGGATTACAGGATATGGACCTTGCACAGAGAACACTTTCTTCTCCTACATCAGAAGTAACAAAATAGACAGTGCATGTTCATTGAGATCTCAATGTCATCCTTGTTGTTTAAAATTCAAGATCATTTGGCGTTCTTCCATGCACTACTTCTACTATGATTCCTTAGGATTTTAGAAGCCTAACCTTTATTGCCTTGTCCACTAGAGTCTTAGCTGTCTTCAGTCTGTCCCCATTAATCAGAGGCAGATTTACATAATTACAGCGAGCTCTTCCTTCCAAGGGTGGCACTGTGACATACAGCACATAGACATGCTTTACAAAAAATAAATAAATAAATAGCAGGGTTTATCTTGTGTGTGTACATTTGACAATAGCTGAGTTTTCAAAATGCCTTCACAAATATCATGAAAATAAACGTATAAAAACATTATCTGAAAGACTCCAAATCACGTTTTGAATTCAATCTAATAATGTCAACAGTTTTTTATTTATGTTAGTATAATCCAAAATGCCGCTGCAAGATTAATCTTTAATGAACCGAAAAGAACGCATGTCACACCTCTGTTCATCAATTTGCACTGGCTACCAGTAGCTGCTCGCATTAAATTCAAGGCATTAATGTTTGCCTACAAAACCAACACTGGCTCTGCACCCATTTACCTAAATTCATTACTTCAGAGTTATGTACCCTCTAGAAGCTTGCGTTCTGCAAGTGAACGACGCATTATTGTGCCATCCCAAAGAGTCACAAAATCATACTGACTTTTACATTAACTGTTCCCTCCTGGTGGAATGCCCTGCCCAAATCAATCCGAGCAGCTGAGTCCTTAACAATCTTCAAGAAACGACTAAAAACACACCTGTTCCACCTTTATTTGACCCTCTAACTCTAACACTTTCTATTCTATTTTAATTCTACTTTATATTTATCTTCTTTTTTATTTTTTATTTTATTTTTTTATTTATTTTTTTATTAAAAAAAAAACAAAAAAAAACAAACAAACACTAGCTTTCTATTTTTTCTATTCTATCTACTAGTTTTTCTTTGTGTGTGTGTGTGTGTATAATATATATATATATACACCTTGCTACGTGTACTGCGTTAGGCTAACCGAGACTTGTCATTTGCACTTATATATTGTTGCTCTTTTGTTAGTTTTGACTGCTTTTATTGTCCTCATTTGTAAGTCGCTTTGGATAAAAGCGACTGCTAAATGACTAAATGTAAATGTAAACTTTTCACGCCTGAGGGTGTAGCGATTATGGCTGCTATTAGCAGGCTTGAAAGTGGAATTCATGCAAAATTTGATGCGCATGCTGATGAAATTCGAGGCAAAATTTCTCTGGTACGAGAAGAAATGCACAACACATTTTCATCTTTGAAAGAAGACCTCAAATCCCAGAGTGAGCGCTTAATAAGTCTAGAGACCACTACCTCAGAATGGATGACCAGTCTTCACTCGCTCGAGCCTACGGTTGTTTCTCTTCAAAAAGAGATCACTTTACTGCAAGCTAAGTGCCTCGACTTCTTGTCGAGTGTCGTTCCTGCAGATCCAATCTTCACTTGGTGGGAATTCCGGAAGGTGTGGAAGGCCCACAACAAACGAAGTTCGTGGCAGATGCTCTGGCGGAAATATTTGACCTACCTGAACCTCCACTCCTAGCTCGCGCTCATTGTACACTTGCACCAAAACCTGAGGAAGGTAGCCGTCCGCGAGCCTTCGTCATCTGTTTCCATCACTACGACATTAAGGAGGATATTTGCCAACCACGGCAATGGCTTTTGTAAAACAACATCTATTACCTGCTTGAATATGTACAAAGTACTGGAACTTAATGTCTTATTTTCTCTGGTTCATAGACTATTGAAAGCACTTAATTCTGTGGTTCAACATGTGTAGATTTATTTTTGTAGGGTTTGTTTATCTGTATTAGGTGGTATTTGCTGTATTTGGTATTTGTTTGCGGAGATGCATCCGAAGAAAGAACCACAATATCTCGCATGCACATTGGGATGTTTCCTCAGGGTAGCGTACACTCTAGTTGGGGGAGTGTTAGCTTAGTTAGAAAGCGTGGGGTGGGGGGTGGCACTTGCAG